CCCCTATTTTCTAGATTCTTATCACTTGTGTCCAATTCTTGCAATAAATCAGCTTTGCTTTCTCCTTTCAATTCTAATTCTAATTTTTTTTCCTAAACCCAGGGTTTCTGTACACATTTTAAATTGAGGGATTGCTTCTTGCACATAGTAGCTATTCAGTTATCAAGTTTTTAAAGTAAAGTTATCTGGGACTTTTATTAGCCATTGAATGATTTTTCCGTTTTCATGGAAAGCTTTGCCCCTGTTTTCCCTATTTTCCTTGTGGCTTATTTATGGAGGCAGTTTCTTCAAGCTGGTATAGATTTCAAGACGCTGCCCATCACTCAAGTTCCTGCTGTTCCATGGTAATGTAGTCAATATGCTTTAATGACCCTGTGAAGGATATATTTTTAATAAAATTGCCCTCAATATTTAGCTGCTTCTGTTTTCCATGGGGCCAGCATGCTCAGAATGTTAATCTAAACTTGTTGCCCTCTCATTATGCAATGGAAGTCAGATGATTTCGATTTGTTATTGCCCTAAATTTTCTACCCCTAGTCTGTGTTTTAATCTAGCGAATTAATACATGCTAAGCATTGGGAGCATCAACAGTTTTGATAAATCATTTTTATCTGCTGCATCATCCTGGCTAGACACTCTGCCCTTACTATATCTTGTGAGTCCCAGGAGGGCGTGGATACCATCAACCCTGTAATTAAAATCTGCTGTGCTTTTCATGCAACAAACTGCATGAGCTTAAGGAACTGGCTCCATTAATGTGCTTTACCTTCCTTTCATTATTTCCTGTTTTCAGTTTCCCTCCCCCTCTCCCCGCATATAGCTCAGTGAGTGTTTGACTATTGCTGGCCAGACATTAGGTGTGGAAAGCCTTCTTTCCAACATCCTGTGAACATGGTCAGCATTGGCTGGGGGCCTGGGTGCAGGTATCCTCAGCTTCTGTGGACTGTTGCAGGGAGGCCTCCCTCTACATATGCTGGGTTTCCCTGAAACACAGGAAGTCAAGCTTCCTGCATTCCCCTGAGAATCTTTATTACCGATACTGCTAACTCAACACCCTCACGAAGACCTCACCATGGGAACTGCTCCTGCTTCCAGCCGCTGCTGCCGAAAAGCAGCTTTTGCTCACAGAAAACTGGGTCAAGTTTTGAACGCCTCTTCCTAAACCTACCTTTGTGTACCTTGTGTGAACGCATGGAGCCGCAGAAGGCAGAAAGTCAATCGTCAGTCCTATAAGCAACGTTAATAATTAACCAGTGCGGACAAATGTTTGCCATCATTATTTTCATATTGTAAAGTGGTACCAGTCTTTATTGTCAATACTTAAAAAATCAAGAGCCCGGCTGGACCAAGTGGCCTCTGCTGGCCACCACCACCTCAGACTCCCCGCCCCCCACCATGAAACATGGCACTAAAGATAAAAAACCTCAAAGTAAGAAAGGATCATGTGACAGAGTCCTGAGGGCCTTTCAGAGGCTCCACGGATGGTATAGTCTAATGAGAAGATTGCAAATAAGCAAACAAGTCATTTATGAGACTAATGTCTGCTCTGAAGTAAATGAAACAAGGAGATGTGACAGCAAGTACTTTAGAGAGGGGCATCTGGGAACGTCTCTCTGAGGGGGCGACATCTAAGTTGAGACTGGAAAGAAGCCAATCAAGCCACGTGGTAAAACAAGTAGAGGAGGAGCCAAGAACAGGGCTTTTCAGCCATGGGACCACCACTATGTACTTATAGGGGCCTGGAAGACGTAGCCTCCCTCCAAGCCCAGGGTAGGTCCCGGTGACCCTGCTGTCCTCAGCTTCATCACTCCCTGCCTACCAAATCCCAACTCCCAAAGATTGTCATGAAACAAAAGAAAGCCATTTCCCATGAGGCCAAGGGGCAGTTGCTCCCCAATCCCTTTTTCTCAATCGCCTTGGCTCTGAGACGATTTTTTTTTTTTTTTTTTTT